TCTTGTAAGGCCCACCTGCAGCAGACAGGTGCTAAGGGCACTGGCTCCAGGTTCACCTTCCAGGCCTACCTGAACACACCTGGTAGGTAGCCATGGACCCCAGCTTGTCACTGCAGGGCTGGAGGGTGCCTGTCTGTCTGTCTATACCTTTTTACTATCCCTCTCAAATCTCTCTTTCATATGAAGGAAGTAAATAAATTTTAAAAACATGTTTTCTTCTTTCTGAACACAGTTACTCAAAACTTAAGAAGAAAAAAGTTACATATATATATATACACTTAATCACCAAAGAAAATACTATTGCAAAAACATGTTAACCTTGGAGCGCCATAGTAATACTGACAATAGAATAATAATAATGGTATGGTTATTATTTATTGAGCATATGGACAATGTTCCAGACACTAAGCCAAGGGTTTTTCTTCCAGAACTGCTAATCCTTACAACAGCTTTATCATTAATGGTACTTTATCAGGGAAGGTAGCGGATTGGTACAGGGTAAAGCAACAAATTTTAATACAGGCTCTGAGTACAAGTCAGATCTTAGCCTGGGGTACACCAGTAGCCCAAAATGTATTCCAAATTCTATGCATATACTTTTCTAGTCAGAGTCCATTTCTCAATTCGACTGTGAAAGAAATTCACAACCCCAAAATGGTTAAGAACCATTGTTCTTACACTGTACATTTTCAAAGCTAAAGGCATGAGATACACCCCATGCAGAGCTACAAATGAAGGAGTAACTACCACCATGCCACTTAGATAAGACCAAATTTTAATAAACAGGTCAAGATATAATGAATTTGCATTTCTCAATTTACAAATGAAAATTACCAAAAAGGATAAGAATGAAAGGGATGTAGACAACAGAAAGTTTCTATAGTCCTTTCTAATTCTTATACACTGCTACATTTTACCTGGCTAGTCCTAGCTACAAAATCAGAGCTGTCTTACACTAAAATTATTTCACTTTTCAAATGAAGGCCTATAGCATTACAGTATCACACACGAGGCCACCCAAGTGACAACAATTTCACAATTCTGATCTCCTGGCTACTAGCCCATACCCTTTACACTCCAAGAGCATGAAACAAACTGGAAAGTAATCCACTAGTTCGGATTACTTAAAATATCCTTTGTTATGCAATAATTTCTCAACAAAACAAGTGCTATCTCATTTTCACTAACTCCAGCTCTATAAAGAAATAATAACAAATATTGGTTAGGACAACTCTTTAAGATTATACCAGGACAACTGTTTTTGTATTAATTCACCTTAAGAGGCACAGGCCTCTACCTTAGTGGAGCCATTTATTCTCATTTTATTCAGAATGCTGTGTTTAAGGTTATTTTCCATAGCACATCATATAGACCAATCACATTTATCTAGCTAGAAAATCAGGCAATTTTCTTCCTAAAGCCAATTCTTTCTTGAAGTGGGTAGTGTTCAAAATCTTGTAATGAGCAGTGTATAACTCAACACTAAATACTGAGAAAAAGGTTTAGAGCAGATTAGGCTCATACAAATTGGTTTCTAGAGAGTGAACTAGGGAGACCAATAAATCCACTTTCCAGACCTTAATCTAAAAGGGAAACCTCAATGTCATACTCCAGTAAAGTTTATCTCCAGTTAAACTTCCAGAAAAATTTTAACACACCTTAATTTATCATCCATTCAACACATCTAGATACGATGCCAACCAACCATGTATTGGGTGAACCACATGAATCAACAGCTGACCATTACTGATATCACAGACAGTAATGTCAAATGACTTCACTTAAATAAGGCCACATCTAAGGAAAAACAAGGAGACCACAGGGCTATGGAATTTCTATTAAGACAATGTTCAATATATTAACTAACCTTTAAACCCTCACGTACATACAATAATAGATGATCACATAGATTATTTTATGTAGCCCTGTAAAACACCAATACACAAATAAAACTAGTTCCTAATGCAGCCTTTTATTAATGTATTCTCTGGCATGTGTAAATCCCTCACTTCAGCATCCACTACTGAAACTATGAAAATGCACTATATCAAGCTTTAAAAATGCACAAAATGCCAGCAATTATTACCTAATGAACTTTCAAATTCTTAAGCAGCTAAAAAAAAAAAAGAAAAAGACTCTATGACGTGATTTAAGAAGGTATTTGAATAAATACCTAAGATTGCTAATAGAAGATTGCTTACGGCCCCAGGAGTTTAAATACTGTTTAAAAGATCAAGACGGGCTAGAATACAGCCTACTCATAATCAGATGGCAAGGATGACTTCACCTGGAGAACTTTGTTCCAAGACCTGGATGAAATCACAGCCCTCCAGCAGTACCAAGGTCCACGTCACACTTGAACTCAACTCTGTGAGTACGATTTTCCCCAAGGAAAGAGTCAAAAGAGAAAAACCACGATACTGGTGTTTGTTCTTTTATCTCTTTATGATGTGGCCGCAAGTAACAATCACACTTTACTACACGAAAGTGGATTTTTCAGGTACACCCAAGATCAATGAGTTCTTTCACATAGAACTAATAAAGACCAAAAAAAAAAAAAAAAAAAGGCGAAATGGGCTGCACCAAAATAGGTCGGGAATGTGACCTAAGGCGTCATGGAACTAGCCGTGTAGACAGACCATTACGTATTTAAACAAGGCCGGACATAGATCCCAAAGTGAGGAAGTTACAACTCCCACCTCCCGGGGTGACAGGGGCCAGAACCCCGAAGGGCCGGTGGCGAGGAGTCGCCTGCGGCCGCCCTCGAACCCAAACCCGCCCGCCACGCCCTGTGCTCCGCCGCCGCAAACCGGCCCGCCGCGGGGGGGGGGCCGCG